TTAGAAAATAAACAAATAAGATACATTTTCGCTCGACCAAATGCTAGCTCGACGCTGATTGGCCGATAAAAGCGGCGGGGAGCATGCGCGCTCGCTGACTGTTCGGTTGAAGCCGAATACTGGCGCGTTTAACGCGAGTTACCAGGGCCTCAGAGCTTTGTAGGAGTTACTACATTATCGACGGATTACAGACGATTCTGTACCTTACAGCTATTTGCTTAAGTCTTAATATAATTTGATATGAAACTTTTCGACCGCGTTGAACCTTGCCGGCAGATAACAAGGTGAGCCAATAGCGGACGAGAATCATCTCTACTACAAAGAAGTTACAGTTTGAATTCGATTGAGCTTTGCTAAGTTTTGTCATTAAGTATTTTCCTAAATTTGATACGGGTGCTAAAAGCCACGCTTCAGGCTTTGTTAATTATGACCTATCACAACAATGGTATATACTTAAATTAAGTTTGCGATAAGCTAATTGACTCGGTTGCAAGGCTAGTAGCTGTTAAGTTTGTTGAACCGCGCTCATGTGCGATGAGATATATTTCTTTAAAGTCGATACACACATGACCTATACTGATAGATAAGTATTGTCAGTTCTTTTATACAAACTATATTCTATATCAACTTTTGCGATGTTTTTAGTTCGTTCAAGAATTAGGATCTTCGCGACATCGTTCTGCGATCCGCGTACCCAATTTATCACTTTGGAATGCACAATGGTGTTTGCCTACCCTATTGCGAACTAGTTCTATAGGATTTTAATAACATAGAACATATCTTAAGTGTGTTAATATCAGGAAGTCCGGGTCTAGTTCGAATTATTGGTATTAAATCTTCGTAATTAACTGCGCCAAGTCAACACACCCTGTCACGTACTGCGGTTATAAGCTCTTGAAAGACCTGAGCATTTCTTTTAGTCGGATATTAAATCTCATTTATACCACGTGTTTGAGGCTATCTATATGGAAGAGAGTTTCATGAAGCACTCTCCCATCATCGTTTTGGTATTGAAACCTCCGTAAATATTCGGTCGGAGGACTGCGAAGTGTGCTTAGAGAAAATAATACTCAACCCAATAACCAACTACAAAGTGATAATAACTAAAGTAGTTATTTTATGATTGGCAACGTGCAGTGCGAGAAAGACTGTTCACCGATCTCTAAATCAATTTTTAGAGAGGAAACTCTTTTCTGGGTGACGGCGGATTGGTGTGGAGAGATAAAATATCATATTCGTTGGCTCTTTTGTGCGATATTGCATCCTACTTGAGAGAAGTCCCACTGCCGTCACAACAGTAACGCTCTGCTTTCGTCTCCCTAATACGTGTTCAGCAAAGCAACCGCTATTTAAGTTAGTCTTAGCAGATCAACTCCGCGATTTGTGGGCCAAAAAAACGATCGCCCAGTCTCTTGGACTAGGAAAACCTTATTCAAAATAGATATGTGATACAAAAAGCTTTTTAGCGTATTTAGTGTAAAAAGCGTATTTAGCTAAATACGATGTTGCATCACATAATCTAACTTATAAGAGAAGCGGTCGCAGGGCGTGTTCCAAACTGACACAGAATCTCTATTTGCGTGTCAGTGTCGAAGCTAAAAGGAACTTTATCGACATTTAATCGTGGAGATACAATCTAAATATAGATACTGGTGGTAGGAACTCTTGTGAGTCCGCGCGGATAGGTACCACCACCCCGCCTATTTCTGCCGTGAAGCAGTAATGCGTTTCGGTTTGAAGGGTGGGGCAGCTGTTGTAACTATACTTGAGATGTTAGAACTTATATCTCAAGGTGTGCGGCGCATGTACGTCGTAGCTGTCTATGGGCTCTAGTATCCACTTAACACCAGGTGGGCTGTGAGTTCGTCCACCCAAAGATACAATTTAGTGAAGTTCATTAGAACATATTTAGATGCAATAACTTATCAGTGTAGAAGAACGCCCTTTGTATTCATGTTTCCTTGGTACGTCAATCGATTTGGGTGATTTTGAATCTACTTTGATAAACACACTCTTCGCTGATATCATGACTTAACATCTGTTATGTAGATGTAATTTAACTTCTATTAGAAGAACCTAGGTTATATTTTCAACTGGAGTAATAAGGGTAACTTTGGCTGCCAAATATATCTTTAAGAGCCTGCAAGATTGAAATGATCGAAGCGAACACAGTGAAGGGGTAAACCGACTCTGACAATAGTCCACAAGTGGGCACAGTCGATTGACAACAATACCAAAGTCTATTCATGTTCTGTCAAATGCTAATTTTCTTTATGTGTGTTTGATTTCAAATGCTGACATTTGACGAAATAGCTCTATTGCTTTTGATATTGCTCTAAGATTAGTCTTTTTTATTTTTTTAGTTTGGCGATGTATTGAATATAGTGGCCTGATTACTTTTTGCACAGAACTACCTACTGAGTCTTAAAATGTTGTCTCCTTGACTTATTGATAATAGTGATTTTGGTTCGTGAAATTTATTTCAGTAAAAGCATTTACCTGATCTGAAATTAATAGACAAGTTACACTTTTATCATTATTATTTTTATTGCCCTTGTAGACAGACGAGCATACGGTGAGTGGTTACCGTCGCCCATGGACTTCAGCAATGCCAGGGGCAGAACCAAGCCGCTGCCTACCGAAAATATTAATATTAATAGTTTTTAATTGTACAAGATTGTTGAAGAGACTATACAATTATTTCTTATCTTAACATCTAATGTGTTTAATATGTATTACAAAATATGATGATGCCGGTGCATTTACGTAAGACAGAATAACTAATCAAATCGAAAGATATGTTTCGGTCATTATTACAAAAACGTTACAACAATATTGTAATTTATTAGCTTGTAATCAACGTTGTGAATAATTAAAAACAAAATATTTTTCGAAGCCATAAGTAATAATGAAAGAGAATCCGTGTCTGTAATTGATTTGTACAACAACAGTATTTAGTTCGTTTTTTATTAACTAAAATCGAGAAAATAGCCTAGATATGTGTCAAATAAATTCCTCAAAAAAACAAGGGTTCATTGGCTGTCGGCTTGCCACGCACACGCGGTCACGCAGAAAGTAGGTCGCCCCGTTTGTAAAGTAAATCGTTTATCTTTTTTTTTTTATTGTCTCTGTCTACTCCGGGAGCAACAAGAGTCTATTATGGTTTGCTTTTAGATAGCACTGACTATTTCCGTAGCATTAAGCATTCTCGTTTAGAGTGAGAGAGTCAGTGGGAAAAACGCAAGATAGAATAGTATGGAAAACCCTTGGGGAGGCCTATGCTGTACAGCAAGATGATCAAGAAACCGGTGTCGAATAATAAAATTGAATAATAAGTGTATACCTACTTACATATTTAAAATTTTAAATATCTATAACGCGCTTGACTGAGTGACTTAGTTATAACGCGCTTGACTTGAGTGACTTAGTTATTAAAATAAATAAAAACGTAATTTAAGTTAGATTGTTAATAAAGGCTATCTTATCTTATCTTAAGAGAGTCAGTCGGCTTTGTGAAATCCCTTAACCCACTGAGTTCCTCGCCGGATCTTCTCAGTAAGTCGCGATTACGATCCGGTAGTAGATTCAGCGAAGCACTGCTCTTGCTAGGGCTAGTGTTAGCAATTATTTCAGGTTGAGCCCATGAGCTCACCTACCGGTCCGCGTGGTGAAGTTGGAATAGTCCCCTAAACTACCAACAATTGGGTAGGGAAGCAATGTGAGCTCCATACTGTGGTATAAAAAAATACCACCGCCACCAATGGGTCTCTTGTGACAAAGCAAATAAGATTTCAACCTGAAGGCGAGTAACATTCATGTGGTGGTTTCTACAAACAGGCAGTAACTGGTTAACATCAGCTGGTTTTGTTTATCTATTATACCCTTCCCTTAATTACAGTTCACAGTTCAACTTATGTTTGTCTTTTGTGGGACAGTCGTGTCCACAGTACTGCTAACACTTGGTGTTCCAGGATGCCTGAACTTGTAAACATTCAACACAGATGGATCGTGTTTATTCACTTAACTGCTAAGATTGTTGAGTTTAATAAGTCTGCATAATGAGCTTGCATCATAGTTCGAAATCCAAAAATTCATGACGATCAAAACCATCTCTCTCAACCAACTAGTACTACATAGGCAGGCGTAACTGGACTCATGACAAAGAAATCCTTTGCTAGTCATTAGTAAAACGTTAAACGTTCCAATTTCAAATTTACTACGACTGTACATTTGCCATAGCATAGGTGTACCAAAACACTCTTTTTGATTAGTAAAAATGTTTAAAGTAACATCAGAAATCGTTACTGATTATGTCTCCACGTCTTCATTCATAGAATGTTACAAGTCTTCTAACCTGTTGCGAGTTTCAATATTAGAAACACGAAAAACGACTTACCTTTCCGGGCGCCCCATTAAAGTATCCATTGACTCCTCCTGACAGTATTAACATACATTTTAAACAAAAACTCAAATAGAACACTATCCATTTTAATGTTACATCACTATATTGTTAATGTTTTGATGAGCAGCGTTTTTTTTTTTGTAAAATCAAACCAAGCCGAAATTATACAAAGATTGACCTCGCTTCTTAAATCTTACGAAACTTGTTTACTATCAAGAATTCAAAAATGGAATCTCGAAAAGGGTACGGATTCAATAAAGAACAATTCAGCTTCACACTGCCCTACATGTAAGGGGAGACATTACAATAATAAGAAACGAAAAATCACAAGTGAAAAGGAACAACATGATTACCTGAACCCGTGATTACATGTACAGCTGCTCGACACATGACAATGCCGGGATTAATAAATAAAATAAAATCATGCAAAGCGATGCACATTTTTATATAAAGAACATTCAAAGCGTGTTGTGAAATCTGATGCTAGACAGTTACGAATAAGCGTGCTCCAATAATATCGGCAATGTGTGATCTAGTATGCTCGTTTCGCAAACTAGCTTCTTAATGTTCGTTGCGTATTGAAAAAAAATTATCTCACCTTTCTAATTCTCCTTTTCATGATGCGTTCAGCGGCGAACACGCTGTCGCCTAGCTCCATCTTGTGCATCCCCAGTTTGATCGGTGGTAATCCAAAAAACACTGCAATCCAATAAATGTGATCCTGTCACTGCATCCAATTAATGAGGCACCGCAATCCAAATCGCATTCTTCGACACGACACTCCGTTCAACACTGTCCACAGTTCAAAGTTGGCGCGCGAACGGTCCTTTTTATGGAGCGCCGTAATACGTGTTCCCCGCTTCGTATCGTCGTGCAAACTGAAGTAAGGGGAAGAAGCTCTCCTCCCGCGCACCCCGCACGCAGCGTTCCTCGTAAATGTCGACAGAGCGCGCTACGAGTTCACCAACGCCCGCTCGATATTCTGTAAACAAGTTTTATTTTCATCATTTAGATCTCGTGTTTTCAGCTTCTTGCGTATTTTTTAAGTGAACTATGGATTTTTTATTAACATGTGTAGAAATTCTTATTCCATAGAGAAGTACGTGTTAGAAATTATTTATAAAACGTGTTTACCTAATACATTATTAATACATAACATACTTAAAATAGTTTTAAAAAATTCAGTAAGTTTCACTGAAGTCTTAGCAAGAAAATTTGGGAGCACCTAAAGTAATGGGTTGGTATATCCCGGCACTTTGGTAGTTAAATGTTTGAGGATTTAGCATCGAGTCCCCGCGGTGTCGCGCGGTGGAGGCACGAAGCAGGCGAGCGCGACGTTGCCGCTCCGCGCCAGCTGCGAGAGAAACACAGAGCGAGCGCTACCCTATTATTTACGCGCGGCGTTGCCGCACCGTCCGGCCTACGTTGATTACGAGGACACCGCTTTTACGTTTGATCATCCGGCACATTTATGTACAATTATTCGACGCTAGCGGCTAAATAATACATTTTTATTTATTCTAGTGTAAACTTCTAGTTAGTATTGAGATTAGTACAATATAAAATTAGCAGTACCTGTGAGAATCCAGGGTTAGAACAGATTTCGTCTAATGATCCCAAATATCGACATAAAACACAACCAAACGTAGTATTCGCTAAGAAAGTCTGTACTTAGTTTCACCGGGACCGCGAGCGAAAGCGACCTACCAACAGTACGCGCGTGAAATAACTAAGGCATTTTCGGTCGTATCGAATCGGGTTGGCATTCGTGAAAGGTCGGTATTCCGGGGTACGGGGCCGCGGGAGGGAAGCACTGCAGGCTCTCGCGATTGGTCGTAAAGTACGGGCGGCGAGCTCCGCGTAGCGGTGGCCAATCAGAGTACAAGATGCGGCGCCGCCCGCTGACGTCCGGCGGCCGGAGTGCTTCTCTCTCGCTCGGTCGCCGTGCGGTCGATTCCAACATTATTTTTTATGCTACGTGGCTCACATTCACATAGAAAAATGAACGGACATTTTGGATTACGTAGGGTCGCCGGATCCGGGCGCGGCGCGTTCTCTATTTATATTCGATGTATTGTTACAGGGAGAGAGATATGGGGCGATAAATGAACGCAGCTTGTGACGGCTTCAGCCGTACAGATATTGTCAGCTTTATCATTATGATGATTGATGTTCGAATTTAAAGAGACGTCCCGGATGTCGGTTCGTACTTAACATATACAGTACATTAATGTGACTTGTTTTTTTTTAAATCTAAGTCATTCAAAATCGTTCCTTTAAGCCGTAGACTATTTTGAATGAATAAATTGAATTTGTAGTCTTTTGACATGTTTTAGCGTCAAACAGCATTAAGATAATACTTAATTCCTCGAGATGAGAACGAAGAAAACGCCAGGTTTCGGTTTTACAATACCTAAGTATCTACTGTTTTAACAATATTAGGATACAAATTATGTCGGACGATACGTGAGCGTTTCAACATTACTCCTATCCCAGTCTGCAATCTTCTTCGGTTTTATAGGAATAGTTCCAGCACATCAGTCGTGAAAAGATAGATATTGGTCGCTATGCAACCACGAACACTATGAGGTTCAGGTGCGAGGTTGCGGGTGCTAAGCGCGAAAGGCATTTTCTCTTGGATTTCGTAACGAACAAACGTAGAAATGTTGGAATTTAGACTTTTAAGCTGAAATTTCATTTAGGTCGAATTGTTTTTTGTTTGCCAGTTCTTTTTTTCCTACCTATTCAAGTAATCTCGAGGGGTTATTCTAGATTCGCCGAATTAGTAGGCGAGCTCACGGGGCTAAAACCTGATGACGTTACTAACGCGAACCCTAGCAAGAGTCGTGCTTCGCAGAATCTACCACCGGATCAGAAACTCGACCCACTGAGAAAATCCTGCGATAAACTCATTGGGTTGTGTCTGTGGGTTAATTTACTCGCCGAGCCCTTTGTCGCAAGCGACGGGTTCGAGGAGAACGATGACCGGTGCTAGGTTATATTTTTTATTGCTTAGATGGGTGGACGAGCTCACAGCCCACCTGATGTTAAGAGGTTACTGGAGCCCATAGATATCTACAACGTAAATGGGCCACCCACCTTGAGATATAAGTTCTAAGGTCTCAGTATAGTTACAACGGCTGCCCCACCCTTCAAACCGAAACGCATTACTGCTTCACGGCAGAAATAGGCAAGGCGGTGGTACCTACCCGTCCAGACTCACAAGAGGTCCTACCACCAGTGTTTTGGGCGAGGTCGACTACTTTCCATTCGGTCCGCAGGATTGGGAATGTAGTTACCGGCGGCCACAACGAGAGGGTTCTTGTGTCGTGCCGCTTTCTCGAAGTGGCGCGTTGATGCTGACTGTAGATACTTACTGATGGACTCTAGGTCCAGGTCGTCGTGTAGGTCGATGTTTCTGACGTCCCACGGGGCTCTGACGGCTACCTTGCAAAAACGGGATTGAATCATTTGGAAGGGTTTTATGTTTGTGTGGGCCGCGTGAGCGAACACTACACTTGCATAGGTGATGACGGGGCGTATGCAAGTTTTGTAGAGTGTCACCTTATTTCTAAGGGACAATTTACTTCGCTTGTAAATCATCGGATAGAGTTTGCTAGTGTACAGGCTAAGGGAACATAGCCCGTACAGCATTTAGAACAAAACGCCGAAGCAATGTCTGTTTTATGAAAAGTGTTATGGAACGAATTGCAATCATATTTGATATAAGTAGTTACATATAAAGCAAGATGAGACCACACAGAGTGAACGTTAAATGAGATGAAATGATTGAAAGTTCAAGGGAGATTTTTAAGGGAACCCGAGAAGTCTCGACCAGAAATTGGTTTCATTTCCCCACAATTGTGCACCACTACGCATTAATACTCAACGGTTAATGCTCATAACACGACACCCGGGTTCCCGCCAAAAATTCAAGAGCCTAACAACAGTTGTCGAAACATCCACTTACAGGTACCTATACCATTTTTTTAATTTCGAACGGAAGTTACGCAAATAGTTGTCATGCCCATAACAAGTAGGCACGCTGAGCTTTCGTTAGAAGCGACTTAATATTGGACGCTTCATGAATATTGTGACATAAGAGACGAAAAATTTGGAGTCTTAACCACGAGGATTGTTTTGCTCGGTTATTATATTATATTGTCGACTTTCTGATAACTTAACGCCAGTTGAGCAGAGAGCTCGTCCACACATCTAGACACATATATAAATTAGAGCTGTAACAGTATTTCGGCAAATCAAGATTCACGGTTGACTTCCACGGTGAAGGAATAACATCGTGTAATAAAAATGAAAAAAACGCGCTAAATTATAATTGCTGGTGGTAGGACGTCTTGTGAGTCCGCACGGGTAGGTACCACTGCCCTACCTATTTCTGCCGTGAAGCAGAAATGTGTTTCGATTTGAAGGGTGGGGCAGCCGTTGTAACTATATTGCGACCTTAGAACTCATGTCTCAAGGTGGGCGGAGGCATTTACGTTGTAAATGTTTATGGGCTCCAGCAATCACTTTACACCAGGTGGGCTGAGCTCGTTATTCTACCTAAGCAAAAAAATTAAATAAAAGAAATGTTAGGAGAGTTTGATTAGGTATATCACGCGTGACACACTAATAGTACAGGTTGTTCACAAACACATTTTAGGTATACATAAATACTTAATATAATTCGTTAGTACAGCTAGGTACCTTTCTCACAACCTGACTTTCGACACCAAATAAGTTTTAACTTCCTTCTTCTTGTCCTTACCCCACATTACGTGGAGTAGGCGCAGCATGACCTTTTTTTTCCTACCTAAGCTGATAAGCCTTGAGAGGCTATTTCAGCGTAACATTAACTAGTAGGTGAGCTCACGGGGCTCAAACCGGAGTGATGCTAACAGTGACCCTATTAAGAGCAGTGCTTCGCAGAATCTACCACCGGATCGGAAACGCGACCCACTGAGAAGATCCGGCGAGAAACTCAGTGGGCTGTGTCTATGGGTTAATTCGCTCGTCGAGCCCTTGGCCGCAAGCGACGGGTTCGACGAGGACGGTGACTGGCCTCCTCTTACCCACGCATGTCTTCGTAGGTGATTTGGTATGGGTTTTACGAGCAGCCGCTACACCTAGTTTCTGTTCTACTGATCGACTATCGGTGCCTTCAAGCACTGGGCACCGTTCCTGGCGAGCCCGTCGAATGCGATGTATGGTTCGCCGCGCAACTTAACCCACAGACACAGCTCACTGAGTCGCCAGATCTTCTCAGTGGTTCGCGATTACGATCCGGCGGTAGATTCTGCGAAGCACTGTTCTTATTAGGGCTACTGTTAGTAAATTCTCTCAGATTGAGCTCGTGAGCTCACCTACACGTCTGCGCGTACCTTGAATAGCCCCTTAGGCTGCCAGCGAATAGGTAGAAAAAAATCAGTGGTAGATTGAGCAAAGCACTGCTCATGCTAGGGCTAGTGTTAGCCAACTCTCAGGTTGAGCCCGTGAGCTCACCTACACGTCTGCGCGTACCTTGAATAGCCCCATAGGCTACCAGCGAATAGGTAGAAAAAAATCAGTGGTAGATTGAGCAAAGCACTGCTCATGCTAGGGCTAGTGTTAGCCAACTCTCAGGTTGAGCCCGTGAGCTCACCTACACGTCTGCGCGTACCTTGAATAGCCCCTTAGGCTACCAGCGATTAAGTAGGAAAAAACCGGTGGTAGATTGAGCGAAGCACTGCTCTAGCTAGGATAGATTAGTAAAGTCTCCCAAGGCTGTGCTCCGTAAGTTTGCCTGCACGTTCCGTGAAGCTAGCGTAATCCCTCCAGGAATTATGAGCTGTCGCTTGCCTGATCTAAACCCTCCTCTTGTGATATCTCCAGTAATATCTCCATAGCAACGTACCATAATAAGGGGTTTCAATGTTTTTTTCTTTTGTCGCTTATTTAACATCCACTCTCGGTTCTATGTTGTGGATTCAATCATTATGTACCTACATTTAAACCAAAGATTTAGATTATCGAATACCAAAAAGATAAATAAATCACTTTTTTAGTTTCAACGACATTTTTATTGTGTCGCTTATTTTTTATAACAAACTAGCTGACCCGGCAGACTTCCTAGTGCCACAATCGATAAAGAAAAGACCTAAACTTTTGTATAAAATAAACTTAAAACAAACAAAACGAATCCGTCCGACGGGGGACACATCAAAGGGAAAACAAAATTGTTATTTTTATTTAATTCCGAGCATTTTCATATTTATCTACCTTTTAAACATTCTCTGGACTTCTACAAATAATTCAAGACCAAAATTAGCCAAATCGGTCCAGCCGTTCTCGAGTTTTAGCGACACTAACGATCAGCAATTCATTTTTATATATAGAGATTAGACATATTGACTTTGGTTTGTTCGTTTTGTTTGAGATTCGCGCTTTCTAGCTTTGTACAGTTCTTATTGCGTGACCGTGGAAATTTTCGGGATACTGATGGCCAACGACTAGTTGCTACAGAACAGATGCGTATTTCATATTTCCGAATAGTGTCAGAAAAGCGTCGCTCTCACTGTACAGGTAATTTATATTGAAATAAACTCATTATTGTCTATGAAGCAATAAAATAAATTAATGCGCAAAATCCTATACCTAATGCCTATATATATGCCGAGGAATGCATCATGGCTTGAAGCGTGGGACAGAGAGACACTGTTTAATTGAGAAATCG